ATGCTTATATTTAGTTTCAAACACACGTGTGTGGCCTATAAATAAGATAAGCCGTATGTCATATTGTTTTCTATATGCGGAGTGGGGTGGGGTGGGGTGGGTATGGTAAATTACTAACCGAGAATTGGAAATGAGGATTGTATGTTATTATTATTATTATTGTTATTATTATTATTAATATTATTATTATTATTATTATTATTGTTGTTGTTGTAGAAGGGTTACCCTCTTTAAAGATGGTTGAAATAAAAAATTTAAAAAAATATAACCACTCTGACCCAAGACCCCTGTTACGCGCCTGGTGTTAGCGCCAATGTGTGCCCTTGTGCGGACAGGAGATGTGCCCCCCCTCTGAAGCTGGAAACCTTGTTTTTGCAAAATGAATTGATGCAATCTGCTGTTATAGGCCTAATCAATAAATTCCTCATCAACCGATATAACCTTAAACATTCTTGGAATTGATATAACATTACTGATGTCGTACACACCCTTCAGTGTGAAATGTGGCTCTCTTTGCAAGCACATCTAACATCTAAGGAAAGAAGAGCTTAGATTGGTACCAGATAAAATTTGGTTATCAACATTAATACATTATGCTAATTTTCATCTTTGTAAGCGCATAAGACAGTGCAAATTATTTCTGTGACAGTCTTTTGAAGTGTGTAAAGCTCCATTTTATCCCATACATAGTCAAAATATTGGGGGGGATGATTCAATGGACCATCCCCCCCTTGTCAAATATTGGGGGGATATATCCCCTCCATCCCCCCCGGGATCTACGCCTATGTATTGTACAGTATACAACTTGCAACAGCCAATCTTGTGCATTCAGTAAAGCTGATGAAGGCCAGAGGACTGGCCGAAAATTTCTTACAAAAATAAATACAGTGTTCAATAGTCTACATGCCTTGTCATAATTTTTTGTTTTAACGACTGATATATATCAAAACCAAAAAAACAAGAGAGTTCCAAAGTCAAGATGTGAGGTAACAAATGCATGTATATTGCACAAGTGATATGTTGAGGAGCTGGTGATTTTGGGAATGTGCTAACTCAAAGTCATTGAAGAATCAAGCGTAATACCCAAATTCTATACATGAGGTACTTG